TCGTCTTCTTTACTCGACGGCTTAAATCAGATTTCTGATGCATCGCCTGGAACGAAAGTCGCTGTATCGGCCTGCCGATATAGGCGTTAAATCGATTTGTCGCGATATATCGATTTATAGCCCAGTCCTAGTCGTCAGAAAAGGATTCTTTGAAAAACGCACTTTTAGAAGATCCTAGTTTGCAATATTGAGAATTTTCTTTGTGGAACAAGATATAATTAAATATATTTTTAGTTGTAAACTAATGCAAAGTGATGTATATCTAACTGTGCAATATTTTAAAATTGACAAAAGCATATTATATACATTTACACAATTCATAGCGCTTTAATTTATTACATAAAAATGGGCTTATCGTACTTTAAAACTTTTTTGCTTATCAAAATAACTTTTTCTGATTCATAAATTCGTAGTATCGACGTTACCGTTATCATACACTATGCAGGGCATTTCGCAATCGCCACCCTTACTGTACCGGCAGGGAAGAGTTAAAAGAGGATTAGCAGAAACGCCACCAAACTCAATCAGCCAATAAACTTGTCCTGATTTTTTTTTTTTTTCATCCTCTTTTTATTTTCGTCAGCAGTGATTCGACATATTTCGATAACGTTTTTCAAACCTCGTACAAAAATACTCATTTGCAACAGCATACGTACATACTTTTTTAACTTCCTTCTCAACAAGAATTCCAAATATATCAAAGGTGATCACCGATACTACTGATATGCAATTTTTTTGTTACGTTATTTAGTGGTACTTTTCTACATAAATGCATCACATGTCTAAAATAGAGAACATATTTTACTACTCTTCTGCAATATGTTCCTTATGTTCATATTTAATAAAATGTTGATATAATTATTAAATTATTATCCATGTTTATGTTTACTTAAAAATTTAAGACAATATTGCTTTTCTTTTACCCAATTTAGAGAAAATAATTTAGAAATCTTTATGAATGCTTACTTATTTTATNACGTCAAGCGCTCAGGTATCATGACTTTGATTCAGGTATCATATCATAATTCAGGTATCATTCCTTCTATGTCATTTTGATTTATGTTGCTAAGTTAACTTTCAAAAAATTCTATGGCTGGCAACAGCATTTATATTTTTTATGTTGTTTATTTTAATTTCTTTTAAAATTCGTTCTTTTTTTAGCGAAATGTTTTTTAACCTAACAGAATTCTTTGCCGACTGTTCTCTGTATATATGAGGAAAATAAAGTAAATTAATTAATTCCTAATTGAGTTTAAATTAAATATTATCATGTTTTTAGGGCATCAATCTGAATTGAACAACCTTATAATGCTCACTCTGGTTATTGTTTCCGTTTTTAAAAGCGCTATATGTTGAGCCAGTTTAAATTAAATAATATCATGTTTTTAGGGCATGAATCTGAATTGAACAACCTGATAATGCTCACTCTGGTTATTGTTTCCGTTTTTAAAAGCACTATATGTTGAGCCACCTCAACTAGATTTGCCATGTGACATTTTTAGCAGCAATCATTGGTCGATTTTCTAACGTTGCCATTCGGGGAGTTGTAATGAGGGTTTTTTTTGGTGCCGTGTAAGCGAAATATATATATAGATGGTGCATGATTTAAAGCTTATAAACTTTAGTCTTATTCTTTTTTACTATTTAGAAACTAATTATAAAAGTTTTTTTAAAATTAGTTACTTTAGGAAACTGCTAGAACAAAAGCCCCTTAAAGTCCCACTCAATCATAAGAAAAATTAAAACTTCACAATTATTTTTGTTGTAACCATATATTAATACTGATTTTGTAAAACACTTATAAAATCAGTTCTAATATATGGCTACAACAAAAAATTTCAATATTTGAAAAAAAAGAGTCCTCAAAATTATGTTAGGTCGAATTTGTGACAATGGTGTGTGGAGTAAAAGATACAACTTTGAGTTACAGAAGTTGTGTAAAAATAATGACATCATAAAATCAATCAGACTAAGCAGAATGAGATGGTCTGGAAAGCTTTCAATGCCACTATATATATAAAAAAAAGAGGCCGAAAGACAGACCAAAGGACAACTGTTTAAAACAAGACTTGACTCTATTTAAAGTTAAAATTAGAGGAGAGTTGCCTGAAAAAGAGTAAAGTGGAAAAATTTTCTAAAAAAATACCATGACCCACCCTGAGCTGCCGTGCCGACAATGATGATGAATTACTTAAGGATTAAATGTCTTCAGAAAACGATTCTTTGAGAAAAGCATTTTAAGAAGATCCTAGTTTGCAATATTAAGGATTTTCTTTATGGAATATGATATAATTAAACATATTTTTAGTTGTAAACTAATGTAAAGTGATGTATATCTAACTGCGCAATATTTTAGAATTTACAAAAGCATGTTATATACATTTACACAACTCATAGCACTTTAATTTATTACGTAAAAATGGTCTTATCATACTTTTAAGCTTTTTTGCTTATCAAAATAACTTTTTCTGATTTATAAATTCGTGGAATCAACGTTGCCGTTATTATACACTATGCAGGGCATTTCGCAATCGCCACCCTTACTGAACTGGCAGGGAAGAGTTAAAAGACGATTAGCAGAAACACCACCAAACTCAATCAGCTAATAAACTTGTCCTGATTTTTTTTATTTTCATCCTCTTTTTATTTTCATCAGCAGTGATTTGACATATTTCGATAACGTTTATCAAACCTCGATTAAAAATACTCATTTGCAACCGCATACGTGTATACTTTTTTAACTTCCTTCTCAACAAGAATTCCAAATATATCAAAGGTGATCAGTACGAACCGATATTACTGATATGCAATTTTTTTGTTACGTTATTTAGTGGTATTCTTCTACATAAATGCATCACATGCCTAAAATAGAGAACATATTTTACTACTCTTCTGCAATATGTTCCTTACGTTTATATTTAATAAAATGCTTATATTTAATAAAATGTTTATATTTAATAAAATGCTTATATTTAATAAAATTTTGATATAATTATTAAATTATTACCCATGTTTATGTTTACTTAAAAATTTAAGACAATATTGCTTTTCTTTTACCCAATTTAGAGAAAATAATTTAGAAATCTTTATGAATGCTTACTTATTTTATTGAATGCCTCATCTTTCGAGTAAATCAAGTGTTAGAGTTATTATTTTTTTCATTTATTGTAGGGATTAGGAAAAAGCTATAATATTTTTTGATACTTGCTCTTTTTGTTTAGAAACACTTCCACTTTTCTTATTAATACGAGAATTTTTAAGAACATAAGGAAGATTTCTCCTGTGGACATACAAAAATTATTTCAACAATTTCTGCAATCTTGTTTTACAGTCAAATTTTAAACATTATTTAATTTAATATTTTGTTAGGTGTCTTTTAATTTTGCAGCAACTTAAAATTACTTATAGTTCGATTATAAATGGCAATTAATTTATTTTATAAAAATCTGGGCGAAATATTTCTTAGTAATGTAATTAAATTTCTGTGATAATTTCAGAATGATCATATAAATTTTTGAAAGATTTGAAAAAGCATAAATGCAAGTCTCATTTTTTTCCTAAAGGTTTCTAAATATTGTTTTCAACTTCCTGAATTTCCACTATAAATTATTCTACTTTATATCCGGGGTTGAATAGCAAACAATATTTTTTTGGAAGGAAGGAAGGGGGTTTGCAACTATCAATATCCAACTCCTCAGCCTTGTAATCTTGAACCCAACCCAGAAAACATGGGAACTCCTAGATCAAGTAATAGGAGACACTAGCCTTCGTAGGAACTTATTTGGTGGAACTAACTCGACTTTGTGTTACATGGAGAAGAAAACCACGGAAATCTACTGCAGTTACCCCGGTTTACAAGGGGATTGTAATCCTTGATCATTCAATATATTTTACGTCAGCACTTGGTTGTTGCAAACTGGGAGCAGAACTCATGCTGACCAGCTGTCGCTGGGATTCGAACGTGAGCCACCTCATTGGGAGGCGCCACCGCGAGTTACCACGGATCAAAGCTAAATATTATTTTTATAACCGTCGTTGAACAGTTGACCCACTTTTGGATTTACGACTACTAATGTTTAACTAAGTAGCCTTTCAATTTTGAACACACTCCAGACGACAAAGGAACTCCTGGATCAAGTATTGGGTGAAATTTGCCTTCAAGGATGACTTTTTGATGGAACTAACTTGCCTTTGCGTGACATGGAAAGAAAACCCCCGAAAACCTCCCACTGTTAGCCTGGCGGCAAGGTGACTCTTGCCCCTGATCTGTCTACCAGTGTGGATATTTTACGTCAGCACTGTGGTCGGTGCGACCCGGGAGCGAATTTCGTATCTCATCTCTATCTCGCAGAAATATTTTATTGCCTACATCGAAAACTTGATATTTTTCCCGAAAAACACTTTCTAGGACAATTTTCTTCGAGCATCCCAACTTAGCTTTTAAAAAATTTGATTTTCTGCTTTATTTGAAAGGAATTATTATAGTTCTTTCTTAAAATGCATTGTTACTGAAAATCCATTCATCCATGTCTTGTTCAAAACAATAAAAAATGACATTAAAAATAACACTTTTTAAATTAGAAGCTAGAAATTGTCCATTAACACTTTTCATTAAGCGCAGTAAGAGATATAAATGCCAATTAAACTAATCATTAAAACTTAACATCATAAGAGGGGATGCTTTGGCACGATGATACCATATCACGATGATGATACTACATGATACCATAGACAAGCAAATCATTTCCAAAGTATTCAATTTGTGCTTAAAGGTGCATATAGCCAATAGAGGAAGGAAGTAAGGATATTCCGCTTTGATAGGAAAAAAATCATTAAACAAAGATCATTAAAAACGTAGAAAAAATTGGGAAGTAATCGACACTTCTTCAGCTATTGTGGAATATGAAGAAAAAAAAATAACAGTAAATAAGGTTCCGTTAACTTCATTGAAGTATTTAAATATCGAGTTTTTTTAAATAAGCAGTCATTCGTTATTGGAAATTCGATGAAGAAAGTTCTTGGCGTGGTAGAATACGTGAAATTTAAATTTATTGGCAAATTCAAATGTATCTTTAAGTGTTGTTCTTTTTAGCAAGTAAGTTCTTTCAGTTAACTCTAAATAAGAATGAAATAAGCATTTTTTTTAAAAATAAATAACTATGAGTTCTTTAATAAATTATTATATTAATTAATCTCAATTATTCGTTTCATGATAACTATAAATATTTTGTTGTGATTGCTAGAAAATATAATTTATGTCCTCAGTATTATAGCCTAAATTTCAATCTGCATTTTAAATGTATCATTAAGTATTTTTTTTATTTATCCAAATATTTACTTTAGTTTGTTGATGATTTTAGATGGTAAAAAAACTGCAGTAGAATTTATAAAGAGTTGTACTATATAGTTCTTAAATTTGCTATTATTGAAAACTTATGCTCTCCATATCCTAGTCTTATAACAGATTAAGGGTGAAATTTGTCCATGATAGTAAATATGTAATCCAATCTAAAAACCACTGCAAAAAAACTTTTTAATATACAGAAGAAAAAAAAGAACTATCTGCTGGCGTGCCAGTATAAAAACGTTTACTTCACAGATAATTACTGTTACTTAAAAACGGTTGCCTGTTTTTTTGGGTAGATAATTATTGTTATTTTAACAAATTCTGTAATTTTAGCAAAAAAAAACTCTATTAAAAAATTATATCAGTATCATAGTTGGTGTGGGCAAAGTATTTTTCTAACAAATTCGAACCCGGATCACATTTTTGAGGAACGAGCGCTCTGACCCCTAAGCCACGATAACTTTAGGATTTGGTTATGAAAAAAAAAAATCTTAAACTATCTTTATTTAAAAAGTCTTACTTATTGAAATCAGATTTAAGTGTAAAAATGTTTACAACTATAGATGCCCACCTTCATAAAAATGTCTGGCAATTTAAATTACTGAAAAATTATGTCTGAGGATAAATAATAATCAGGTAGAGTATCAATTTGTCAAAAAAGTGGAATAGCAATTTTATTTATACAATGTTTAAAGCCATAAAATAATTACTCAAAAGTAAGAGCAGGTCTAGAAAATAATTGTAAAATGATTCTAAAAATAGGGGATTAGGATGAAAAACAAAAAAACTGTTTTGAGAAAAACAATTTTAAACTGTCAAATATACGGAAAAAGTCTGTAAAAAACGTGTGTTTTTTAACCGGGTAACGATTAAAAACAGATAAATCTGTATTTATCTTTAAGAAGTTTTTTAGTGTGAAAAACATGTTTTTCGTTGAAAAATTTACAGTTATTTCTTGCAGTGACATAAGTCTAAATATATCAAATGCATTTCTTTTTATAGAGTTGATATTTTTTAATAAATCATAGTTAGGGCTTTTCCAATAAATTGTTCTAATTCCTTAAAAATATATTCCCTTTAAAAAAAAAAAAAAGGTCCTTCAAAATTGTTTTAAAATTATCTTACTATTCACATTATTCTTTGTTTTAATTTTTATGGTTAATATTTAAATTTTATTGAGACTATAGTTACTTTTCCTGCATTTGTTTTTGAATTAAAAAGACATTAATTTGAAATAAATTATTTAGGGAACAGATTCAGAATATTTCAGCTTAATATTTACTCGTCAATGTAAATTCATCTTTGAAGGCTGTTTCCTTTACGAAGTGAATACATTTGGTCAAATAACGAAAAGGATTTAAAAGAGAATAATAAAAATATTAATAAACAAATTCTGAAACAATAATATAAGCAATAATGAAAACAATAAACAAAATAAAAATAATTTATTTTTAAATAAAAATATTAAAAAACGATAAAACAATAATAGAAACCACAGAAAACAATAAAAAACGATAAAAACACTCTATTTTTAGTTATTTTTAGTATATTTGGAGATCATGTTTGGACACTCCAAATTTGTATTACCTGGTATTATTTTATTTAAGATGTTAGTAACATATGTTTCTAATACATGTTTCTGTGGAAATTTAAAAAAAAAAAAAGGTTTTCGAATGTGGTTTTAACCCTGGTAGCAGTATTCAATCTGCAATAGAAACTTCAAATAATTGGAATTTGTTTGCTAACTTAACACAGTCAGATAGAGATTATTACTGTAAAAATTAGGCTTAATCTAACATGTGTACAGCAAAATTAGCACATTCATGACTTTCGTGAAAACTTTCGTGAAAAATTCGTTGTTTTAATTAAACTTTTTATACAGTTTTAAAAGAATGGAATAATAGAGTAATTGAAAGTTAAAAAATAGAATAGGTTCCTATACAGTTAAACAAATAAAGTGAGCTTTCAAAAATTAAAAATTAATTTTTTAAATATTTCTAGTTTTTTTTTTCTTCAAATTATTCGGAATTTGTGGAAGTCATCACTCTCCATTTGCTTTAATATCTACAGATTAGAAATAAAACCTAAACTAGATACCAAGTGAATTAATAATTTTTCCGCATCCCTTATCAGTGACCATTTAGGCCTTTAATTTGAGAGGGGGGAAAAATCTTCAGGTGCTGTGACAATTTTTATTTTCAAAATCTGAGATGAAAAATAATTTGCAGGTGCTCCCCTAATCTGAAGAGCCCGCTGTCGTGCTGGAGGATTTCTGTTACGGAGATATAACTACAGTTTCGATTAAGGAAAAATCTTAATTTTAATACTCTGCAAATTATCTAAATCTTAATCATAAGATTAAGATTCAGATAATTTGCAGAGTAAACGCAATTGCACACTTAGTTAAGACTTTAACATAGGTCTAAAAAAATGAAAAAGAATAATATTTCAACAATTTCGATGTGCAATTAGGCACTGTATTTAATTAACTTCACGTTAATTAACATTCTAACACGATCAGCAGGTCATATGTGTAGGTGTTCATGATCTTCTTCTTGAAGTACAAGAACCCAATTGTAATAAAAAAATAAGTTTTCTACTAAGAATCAAGATTAATGGAGAAATGGTACTAATTTATTGAGGATAAATGTAAAAAAAAAACGCCATTGCTGTTATAAACGCCAATGGTAATTAATTTTGGTAATAGTAGTTACCAATTGAAGTAAAATTATAAGGTATGTCTTAAAAGACAAATTTAATAGAAAACCCGCACTAATTCGTTTAAGAGCACACACTGTGGAACAAAAATCATTTTTCGCGGTCAAAAATTAAAAAAATGAAGTTACAAGAAAAAAAAATCTCAATATGGTTTTTTGTAGTAAAATGTCCAAGGAATATGACGGTGTATTTTGTTTTTTTGGTTTATTAATGGAAATAGCAATTAAGTGGAAACAAAGTCGAAATGAAAAAAAATTAAATTTTTCAGTTAAATTTTTATTAATATGATAAATCCTTATAGTAAATAAAAATATAAAAACTATGCATGATTTATACATAAATGTATATCTTAGATATATATGAATTCACTATTTTTCTAAATACTATTAAATACTATTTTTCTAAATATTATACAGAGCCATTTCCCTATTTCTGCCCTGTACAATGAAATTGTAACTTTAGGGTGCTCTATAAAAAAAGCCTTACGTTGCCGAGGTAAAAAAAAAAAGTGTACATTTGTTTGGTATTATTTACTCAAGAACTAAAAAAAAATTAGCTGCGAGTATTTGCGAATTTGGCTGATATATCGATTTTTATAATTCATGTCATTTTGATAATAATGATAAAATTAATGAAAAAATTATAAAAATAAACTTGAGATTATTATTTTTGTTATAAAATTTTCAAAATTCTTTATATCTAGCAAAACAGATTCATTATTTTTTTTAAATTCAATAATAGAATTTGTAATTAACAATCTTAAATATTTTGATTCAATATATTTAGTTTAAATTTGTTTTGATAAATATTTGCGATTTTACATCCTTTACTTTATTTATTAAAATTATTAACCACAATAAATTTGTAATCAAAGATCTCAAAAACTACTAGTAAATAATTTTTATTTATTTATTGACAATTTTTTCAGTAATCATCCGCTATTTTGGATCCGCCATTTTGTTTTTTTGAAATTTTGACTTCATATTTGAAATCAGCGACACAAAAAACCTATAGGTGATCAATTTGAACATTGAAGTTAATTTTCTAATTTTGGCCGCATTTTTTTGATTTTGTCCCACTGTGGCACATAAAGAATCGCCTAACAATTATTGACCTCAATAATGAATAATCAGTTTTGGTGATAGGTACTAATTAAAATTTAAAAAAATAAATGCTATACACTAAAAAGCAAATTAATGGCGAAAATGTATTTAGCTATTATAGAGAACCGTTAAAATTCGCCATACTATTATAGACACCAAGGATGCTTAATTTTGGCAGTGGTCACTACTAGCATTGTAATATAACGTGTATCAAATACACTATTATATAAGTACAAAGTATTTTATGAGTAAATTTGGCCCCTGTTACAGCTGCACCAAAACTGAGCATTTTATGACAGATACTGCGGAAATAGGTTTCTTAAGACTGATCGGAGATATAAGGAAGGGAGGAAGTTGTTTTTGTGGTAAATTTTGAATATAAGTTGTCAGACGAAACTGAATGCAGTTAATGTTTATTTTGATGGAATGAACTACTAAACATGTTTTTTGATTAATCTAATAGCGTAAATTCAACCAGCATATAATAAAAAAATCAGTATTGCTTAACTAGAGGCGATCATGCGCAAAACTGAAAGGCAATTAAAAAATTTAAATTCATTTTAAATGTTAAAATTAATATTTGTTGCCCTTCACGGTTGTTTTTCACTAAATTATTAACAAAGAAAATTCAACTGTTCAAAAAAAAGTTTTAACTATATACTCAGTATCATTTGGCATAAAAACTGATGCAATTGATCACGACCAATACATGATAGTCAAGTTTAACAGTAAATCAAACTATTTTCTCAATGAATTGACTCTTCAGAATATAGTTCAAATTTTTTATTTCAATTTACTTCAAACTATTTATTTATTTGTGCATTTTAGAATTTTTAAATGATGGGTCAATCTATTTTCAGTATTTGAAAGAAAAATTTTAAAAAAATTTTCTAGTATAGAAGAGCCTTCCGTCTTCTGCCAACTTGTTAGTCACACCTCTAATAGAAATAATAAACTGAATGAGACATGTCTGAACTGTTTTAGATATTTTTCTCTGACAGTCACACCGAAAAATTTCATTTAAAATTTTCATCAATGTTCATTATCATTTCATTTCGTTTTATATTTTAAAGCAAGTGAGTACGTTTCTTTCAGTACGTATAAGTTAACATAATTTATATGATCTTTGATACTATATGAAACTTTATGATTAGTTAAACTATCATTTTTCAGGAAGAAAAATGAAAGTATTTAGAGACTGGATTGATTTAAAACTACTTCTTATTGCATTCATTGTATACGAAACATCTGAAGCATGCTGCCACTATTATCCTGTTTATTACCCGGTTCATGTAGGAGGGTAAGTAAGAAAACTGAAAAAATTACAGAACTATTTAAACTTATTAATTTCTATTTTTCAAGAAAAATTTGATTTATTTTTGGATTTTGACATTAGGATATGTTTGTTAAAGATAATTAATGTACAAAAAATATGCATATTTTAGTGGAAAAGAACATATTGTTGTTCACACTACAAGTGATCACCACCATCATCATCAACATGGACATCATCATGGTCATCATCATGGGCATCACCACGGTCATCACCATGGGCACCATCATGGGCATCATCATAAACACGGTCATCACCATGGACATCATCATCAACACGGTCATCATCATGGACATCATCACCACCACGGTCATCATCATGGACATCACCATGGACATCATCATGGACATCACCATGGACACCATCATGGACATCATCATCACCACGGACACCATCATGGTCACCATCATCACCATGGACATCATCACGGCCACCACCACGGTCATCATCACGGTCATCACCATGGTCATCATCACGGTCATCATCATGGACATCATCACGGCCATCATCACGGTCATCATCATGGTCATCACCATGGACATCATCACGGCCATCATCACGGTCATCATCATGGTCATCATCACGGGCATCATCATGGACATCATCATCAAAATGATCATCATCATGGGCACCACCACGGTCATCACCATGGTCACCATCATCATGGGCATCATTAATAAACATTAGCTCTTAATACAAATACTTAAATGCTGTTCTCTTACAATCTCATGGATAAAGAAGTATTGCAATAATTTCTTAAGGAGCCTCACTGATGGATGCATATGGACGAGGACCTTCAATTCATACTTGAAATTTATGTCCATGTACTGGAGTTTTTAAAATAATATGAAAGAATGATCGATAAAAAATAAATCGGAATTCCACTAAGTGACTATAAATAGCATCAGTCAACATTCAGAGGAAAATTTCAACCTTTTCCAGATTGGTTTTTCTCGTTAGCATATACAGAGGTTGGACAAAATAATGGAAATACTTCTATACTAGCACAATTCTTCATCTTTATCAAAATACAATAAGAAAATAATTTTATAAATTTAGAAGTGTTTAGTTCCTGCAATTTTTCATAATTATTACTGAAATTTGACGCTTTATATTGGTTTGAGGGGCCGACAATAAATTACAAACGGAAAATAATGTTTTGAACACCCTACGCCAAAAAATGTACAATAAATTTGTAGCTTGTAACAATTATTTCAGTTATTAATATGCGATAATTACAGAAAATTTCGTAAAGTTAGCTTAAATACTTATAGAGATATGGACATTTTTGTAAAAAACTAATATTTTTTTGCCTTACGATTTTTTTCTACAACTTTAGAAATATTCAATAAAATTAAACAAAATTTTTGTAGCAATTTAAAATTAATCACAAAATTATAGTTTTAAATATTGATAAAAATATGTTTAAAACTGTGTAAAGTATTAGCGTAGTTCTTTTATACTGCACATGAGCAGAAAAATTAAAAAAAAAAATTTTATCATAATTTTGTAGCTAATTGTATTTGGCAAAATATATCAAAATAAGGGTTTTTCCACAAATTTCATTTTGTACAATTAAACAAGATTTATTAAAAAGGACACCGGTCATTGCTGGGGATCATCCCTCATAAAAGTATCTTATCCTTCGGATGTCTTCTTTCCTTATAATATCATATTTCGGTGTATGAACGTATATTGTAAGTTATTATCATTTGTTATTTAATTTCGCATTATGCTACAAAATTATATTCGTAAAAAGCTCTTATCATATTGAGCATACTTTTAAAAAGTACAAAAACTATTATGAAAACTGCTTGAAACTTTTTAAATTTTTAAGAAATTCAAATCAGATTTTTTTAATTAATTGCCATATGCAATTCACTACAAAAGTATGAAAAACAATTTTAATTATTTCTACGCATGCGTAGTATAAAACAAATTAATTACTTATACATTGCACAGTTTTCAAAAAAAATTTTTAAATTTTAAAGCAAAAGTTTTGTAATAAATTTAAAATTGCTCTAAAAAAATTTTTAATTTCATTTAATTTTTCAAAGTTGTAGCAAAAAACGTAAGACAAAAAAAAATTAGTTTTTTATAAAATTGTCCAAATTTACTTGAATATTTAAGCTAGACTTACAAAATTTTCTGCAATTATTGCATGCAATAACCAAAATAATTGTTACAAGTTACAAATCTATTGCTACATTTTTCAACATAGGGTGTCCAAAAGTACTATTTTCCGCTTGTAATTTATTGTCGGTCCCTCAAGACTCTAAAAGCTTCAAACAACATTGACATATATGAGAAATCGCATGATCTAAACACTTCAAAAGTTACAAAATGATTCTTTAAATGTTTCTTGAGAAATATGAAAAAATATATCAGTCTTGAAGTGGCCCCATCATTCTACCCAACTCCTGTATTTAATTGGTTGCCGTAAAAAATTATCTAGTATTATTTTAAAACTAAACATCCAAGCTATTAACGTTTTAAAAAACAGTTTTATTTAATTCAAAGCATATTTCGAACTTATTAAACTTTAATAGCAAAAGTAGAAAAATTCAAATTTAAATCAAAATCAAAAGTTTATTTTGATACCTTATGCTTCTAGAGTTGTTAAATAAATTTTTTAAACGTTGTATTTCTGCTCTTTTTTTATAATTTTATTTATTACTAATATTCCTTTTCAGTTATGTTCCTTATTTCCAAAATTCTTTTAGTTTAAAGGTGAGGAAACTGCACAATTTTGAGTGTTAGTTTATTACTAAATTAAATGTACATTTTAGCACCTAAATCAAATCAGTTACATTTTTCAAATAGTGAGTAAATTATCGAAAATTTTAATACAGCAATTAGATTATTAATTTGACGTAATTTACACGTTTTAATCACTTCGTTTAATGCACTGACTAAAAAAAGGATGATTCAAACACCACCTATGGGACACCTCGAAGAAACACACCTATAGAAACACCAAAAAGCACGGCAATTTTTACAGAAGAGCTTTGATAGCGATGTTGGTAAAATTAATTCTGAAATATAGTTTCATAATCTGTGATAAAACTTGGTAAATGTGGTAAAATTTAGCAATTTTATCATGATACCTTAAAGCAGGGGTGTCAAACTCGCGGCCCGAGATGAACATTTTTGTGGCCCAGTCAATATGTCCGAAGCAAAGTAAAAATAAAATAGAAATGTGAATTAGAACCAAACCAGCATATAAAATTATAATATACTTTATTTATACGGATCATTTTAAATCGTACTCGCGAAAATGTAAAATTCTAAGTGGCTGAAATGGAGTCCATTTCACACTAAGCTATCAATTAGATAGTAGATATTCAGGTTTATCCTACTATAGCGAAGTACGTTGGTTATCTTGCTCCAAGGTTCTCAAACAATTCTGGGATTTGAAAAAAGAATTATGTAAATTTTTACAAACTAAAAATCAAGATACAAGCTTGTTCTCCGATCAGATAAGGTTGCAAGATTTATCTTTTATGGCTGATATAACCAAACACTTATCCGATTTTAATTTATTGTTACAAGGCGAGGATCAGATTATTACGAACATGTTTGACATAATTAAAGCATTCAAATGTAAACTATTTCTTTGGGAAAGGCAACTGAAAAATGAAGATTTAACGCACTTCCCAACGTGCAACAAGAACAAATCTAGTTTAGATGATACTGCATCGTATCAAAAATACGTAGAAAAAAATTTCAAATCTTAGGACAGAATTTGAAACAAGGTTTAAAGATTATAATTGTTTGGAAGACAAATTTTGCTTGCTTTCTTCGATTTTCTTTATAAATATAGACTCAGTACCCAGTTACATGCAAATGGAAGTGATTGAGATTCAGTGCAACTCAAAAGTCATTGAAGTGGTTGCCTCAGTTTTACGAATATTTACCGACAAGGTTTGAAAATACTCGAAAATTCGTATATAAAATTATTTCCACGTTTGGAAGTACTTATCAGTGAGAGCAATTATTTTCTGTTATGAATGGAAATAAATCTCCTGTTCGAAACCGTATTAATTACTCTCACGTTGGGTCAATTTTGAAAGGAGTCTCGGCCAATAAAATTTCTCCCGAAATAGAAAAGATAGTAGCAGAGAAGAGATCTCAATTATCAGGACATAAGCAATAATTTAACTTTATATATGTTTATTACAATTGAAAATGAAAATATTTGTTTTCTATGAACATTGTTTTTTTTTGCGGCCCACCTAAAGTTAAGCATTGNAGTATCAGGACATAAGCAATAATTTAACTTTATATATGTTTATTACAATTGAAAATGAAAATATTTGTTTTCTATGAACATTGTTTTTTTTTTTGCGGCCCACCTAAAGTTAAGCATTGTTTATTCGGCCCAAGTTAGCTTTTGAGTTTGACACCCCTGCCTTAAAGCTGGCATAAAAAGCATTTATAGGTAAAATTTACTCTTACATTTTGCATTTTTCTAAAATATGAGGAAATATAAACTATAATTTTGAAAACCAGAATTTCCCATAAAACATTATCACAAAATCAACTGAGTTTGTTTATGTTTGTTGCCTCCTATTAAATTATATAAAAAAATGTATAGTTTTAATTATGTTTTATTTTTTAAATTCATTTTTATAGCTTAACATTCAGTTTTCTCAAAAAATTCAATTTACTACTCTCACTAACTAACTAACTAATCAAGTTTTTCAGAGTACCTATCCATGTATGGATATCTGCTCTTTCATCTAAATTGATCTCAGAATGAACAATAATTGATAAAATCAAGTCTGAGTCATACATAAAAATAAATCGTAAGTTGATACATAATAAAGGGAACAAATTGAAGATAAAGATAAAGAAAGAATATTTACACTATTTACAAAAGTACTCTCACTAGCTGGATATTGGGGTTATCTCGGCGTTTGGCGCGAAGCGCCACTAACCGATTCATCGATTCTGTTTTGTTGTATTCTGGAAGGTTCTATATATCTTTGAAGTTGTAGTATGTTGTAACAACAAGTCAAGTCCTTAAAGAAGCAAATCTTTAGTTGAAGGGAAAATCATCTTTGGAATGGGGAGATCCCCTTGAGTAGAGTTGTATGATAAAGTTAATAGTATTTTGATAGTATGCAGTCTGAGCATAAAAAGGCGGTAATTGGGCTGAAATTCGAATTATCACGGATTATATCAATATCGAACAATTTATTGAAATCTTATGT